ATGGCTGTGTTTGATTCCTCACATTCATTGCAGCTTGCACAACAGGCTCACAAATTACACCATCTTAATGCTCAGACTCTCAGACTTAAGTTTTCCATTACCAGAGAACAGGCTCGTGATATAGTTAAATCCTGTAAGGCCTGTCTGTCCCTTTTGCCGGAACCCCACACTGGAGTCAATCCCCGTGGTCTCCTCCCCGGCGAACTCTGGCAAATGGACGTTACTCATTATCCTGCTTTTGGTAATCTAAAATATATTCATGTTACAGTTGATACTTTTAGTGGTTTTATTTGTGCCTCTCTCCACACAGGAGAGGCTACCAAAGATGTTATTGCTCATATGTTGCATTGTTTTACTGTTATACCTGTTCCCGTGGCCGTCAAAACTGACAACGGCCCAGGATACATTAGTTCTAAGTTTAAAGATTTTTGTGCGAAATTTGGCATCGCCCATAAGACGGGCATACCCCTGAACCCCCAGGGTCAGGGCATTGTTGAGCGAGCCAATCAAACCTTGAAAAATATGCTTTTTAAACTCACATCGGAAAGTGAAACCTTGTATGCTCGTAAAGGCAAACATCGCCTGCTTTTAAATCATGCACTTTTTGTGCTCAATTTTCTGTCCTTGGACAGCAACAGCCGGTCAGCTGCTGACCGCCTTTGGCATCCTTCCACACAGGAAAATTTTCAACAAGTTCTTTGGAAGGATGTACACACCGGCCGATGGCTCGGCCCTCACCCAGTCCTTATCTGGGGCAAAGGCCATGCCTGTGTTCACAATGCCACCACTGGAGAAACGCGCTGGCTTCCAGACAGACTGGTCAAGCTTTATAACCCACCCAGGGAAAGCGCCCCTGAGGATTTTTCTGTTTCCGTTTCAGGTCCCGCTGACACACCCGCTACCTCGCCGACTGACCTACAAGATGTTCCTGCTTCTACTGAGGCTTCTCCCTCTTCTTTTGATTTCTGATCTTTATTCCCCTTTTACCTTGGCTAGCCCCTATCGTCTTTACAACTACACTTGGCTCATAATCAACGAGGCCGGTGACATTGCCAACGCTACTTCCCAGATTGCTGCCACCAGCCCTTGGCCTTCCCTCCAGGCCCCGCGTATAAGGAGTGCTGGATTTGCTACTCCTCACAGCCCCCCTTTTACGAAGGTGTTGCAGTTACTGGTGAACTGATTCCTCTCCAAGACGAACCTGCCATTGCCTGGGATATCGACCCTTGCCAAGGCATAACTCTGGGACTGGTTGTGGGAATTGGACTTTGTATTTTGGGACCTCATATGCGCCTTCCCCCCCCAATTGATTGATATTTGTAACAGCACCTACTTGGTTAATGCTAATGACTTCTACGTTCTTTCCCCTAAAGGCACCTATTTTTGCCTGCTCCACTGGATTAACCCCTTTGTTGGTCCCGTAGCTGTTTTTCGCTCATAGAGACTATTGTGTTTTAGTTTTGTTTTTGCCTCGCCTTTTTGCGGGAGGGGGGAGTTTATGCAACCTTGAAAGAAGAATGTTGCTTTTTTAAAAAAAAAAAACTGAGCCTGGTGGATGATAGCATTAGAAGGGTTGAGAAAAGCCTCAAATGAAGGCAGAGGCAACGGGAAAAGGACGGATCTTGGTATCAAAATTGGTTTTCTACCTCCCCCTGGCTGTCCACCCTGTTACCCAGCCTTTTAGGACCCTTTATTGGCTTTATGCTGTTGATTTCCTTTGGCCCATGGGCATTCCGCCGCCTCACGAGTTTTGTTAAGAACCAGGTTGATGAGGCCACCAAACACTCCATACAAGTGCACTACCAGCAGCTCTCCTCTCAGGACCCTGAAGATAGCCAGCCCGCTGGTGACCATGGGTTCCAACCCCTAAGCTTTGTAGAATTTGAACAGATGGCTGAACGCCGTCGTTCGCTCTGCTCCAGGCTGTGGAGGTGTCTCTGACGGGATTAGCTTGATGCCGGTACCTGGGGGCAGCGTGATTCGGTGGAACACCTATGCATCACGTCCAGGTCCGGAGGCACATCAAGTAGCCTAAGACATGAGCCCTCCACCCTAATCTTGCTTAATTTTATACAGAGAAGGGGGAGTGTTCTAGATCAGAAAGTGCCTGTTAAACATCCCGTATTAGAGTTAGATAAAATCACAGGCCCAGTTTTAGAGATCAACGTGGAGTTGGCTCATTCTATATTAAAAGCGCCAGTTTCTTTAGTATTTTCTACTTTCACCTCCATTCTTCTCAGGAGTGAATCCAAGTGTTTCTCCCAGCGTCCTACCAGCACCCCCAGACGCATGTAAGCTCCCTTCCCTCTCTCTACGCCCCTACACCTGCTTTCTGCTCCCAGAATAGCTCATATCTGGGAAAGTACGCTCATACTCATTCTCAAAGGTGTTGGTGAGAGGTAACAGTTTACATCTCTGGGGGGCACTTCCATTTGGTAAGTGCTGCTTTCCTGGCTGGGGCTAAGATGGTGCAACGGGGACACCGAAGCACCCCAAGAGGGGTCTCTTCTCTAAGTCTGTACACTACTTGTTTCCCCAGTCTCATCCTAGTTCCACCTTGACGTGGCTGCTGGAAAGGGAAATGCGTGACCCAAGTCCCATGATGGTAGATAAATCAGCAGGGAGAAATCCCTGGAGTCAGACAGGCTTCTGTCTCCTCCCTGTCCTGGTACTCTGGAGAGTGGGGGAGGCAGATATTTATTATTCCTGCCGCTGACGCCAGATAGAGCGACTCCACTGGATGATGTCACCGGTCGGGTAAAAGCCCAGTGTGACATCCAGCCAAGCACTTAAAGCTCTCTGGGCCCCATTCTGTTCCTTAATCCCTGAGTATGGATTCTAAAAAGAATCTGGGGACATCAATTATGCATCATGAAGATTCTCCCTTGCAAAGCAACTTACTCAGTTCAGTGAGGATGGGGACTCGGCGGTATTTTGATTTCCCATGGTATTCGTTAGCGTCAGGTAGCAATCCTGCAGCAGACACAGACACCAACAGAGAATGAAAAAGGTGATAACTGCGAACAAACTGGCTTGCAAAACTTGGTCATGACATATATAAGGTCACCATGTGACTTGGTGTTTTATGTTAGCAAAGTTACTCGCAGATCCAAATCGCCAACATTTTTCTGTCATTAGAGAAGCACGTGGCACAGTTGTCCCTTGCTAAGTGCAGAGAATTGGTTCCAGGGACCCCCATGGATACCAAAATCCTTGGCTGCCCAGATCCTTGGTTTGTTTGTATGTTTATTTTTTTGAGACAGAGTCTCACTGTATTTCAGTCAGGTTTTGAACTCACTATGTAGCCCTACTGGCCTCAAACTCTCAGTGATCTTCCTGTCTTAGCCTCCAGCAGGCTGGGATTATAAACTTGTATCCCCATGCCTGGGTCAAATACTTTCTTATAAAATGGTGTAGTATTCACATATGACCTATGTACATTCTCTCACACACAATACCTAATATGATGTAAATGCCATGTAAATAACTGCAATACTCTATCATGCAGAGGATAATGACAAAATAATGCTGTACATGTTCAGTGCAGATATGATTTCTTTCTGAATGTCTTCCATCTGTGATTGAATTGAATCCCCAGGTACAGAACTCAGACACAGAGGACCAACGGCATTTGAGTCTCCTTAGCATTTTCTTTTGAAAGAGTGTGCATATGTGCGTGCCTGTGTGTATGCATGTGTGTGTGCGTGTGTGCGTGTCTGAGGTGAGTTTTCTAAACAACCCTTCAGGTGAATTACAGAACAGGCAAAGCTCCCCAGAAGTTGCTTTTGACATGAGAACTAAGATATACAATTATTCTCCATAGAGTGGTGATGCTGTTGACGGCTTAGCCAGGCAGTACCTCCAACTATATGAAGTTGCTCACAAAACTTTTAGAAAATGGTCAGTTCCTTGGTGGTTCTGCTCCAAGAGTACCTCTGAGGAGTGCAGGCTCCCTGTGTGGCTCCTGGTGCGACCACCCCGTCCAGATTCTCCCCTGAGTACAGGCATCTGCACTGTCTTCCCTCCGCCCCTTGACCTGGCTGCCCCCTCCCACTCTGGCGAACCTGTCCACTTAGAAAGCCCTCGTGCTCCGCTCTGCCCTAACTGGGTAGTTGCATGGGGCCCTGGACCTCTGTGCTTTCTGTGGAGACCGTTTCTCTCCTGCCTCTGGAGATGAGGCCCATCAGACCTGGTGAGTAGCTGTGAGGTCCTGGCCTCTAACACAGTGTTATTATGAGGGTTTGAAAAACACAGCACCAGAGTTTGAGCTTCCAAAACTAAACATGTGAAGAAAGAATGAGAAGTAGAAAGCGAGGGCGCCTTAAAAACACACAGGCCATTATCTCCTAAGTGGTACTTTGAAACTCTAGGTCACTTTTCTTGAACTTTCCTGGGGATGCTCTGTAACCGGGAAAAATACCGTGAAAGTAACATGTCTAATCTGATTGAGGTTCCTGCCCCTTTGGAAAGGGGTGAAAAACTGAAAGATCCTTTGTTTGCTGACCAGGGGAGAGGAGGGCATGTTGGGAGGGGAAATGTAGGAGATGACCAATGTCCTCAGGCTACCAGAGGAACAGACGGAGGGAGGACAAGGGAAGTGCTGACAAAGGAAACGGAAGTCCAAGGGGAGATTTATTTTTTCCAGAAGGAATGCTAGGTATTATACCATTTAACATTGCCTCCATCTCCCCAAGAAGTGTTCAGTGAAAGAGCCACTTCTGTTTTTAATTGAGTAGAGCTGAACATGTTCCTGACGTCAACTAAAATATGGGGTCATGGCTGGAAGATAAAAAACACATGAAGGTCCATGGGAAGACCCCAACGTGTATGGCTGGCAGCTAGAACCAGCAGTGGCCTCAGGAACCCCGGAACCCTTTAGTTTTAGGTGACAAAATGGAGGCGTAGAATGCCATCTGTATACGCAGCTATTTCACAGAAAGAGAAGTGTATGTCCGTGGCTAGAGATAAACCTTACTGTTGATGGGATCTGAACATTTTAAACTGTACAATTTTTTTTGACTCCAAGATTTCCATAATTCAGGAAGGCTTGGAGAAATTAAGACGATACTTTGTTCCCAGAAGGTGCAGATGCCTGCTCTATGGGCCTTTCCTTCCTCTCTCCCAGAAACTGAAAAAATCTCCTCTGCTCTAGGGCTATGGACAGTCTCTGCCCAAGTTAGGTATCACCTGTGGCAAATACAGAATATTTTCAGATACTAACAGGGAAAGAAGTTTAAGGGCAGGGAGCTCATCGGGACGGGACTCTACATGGGGATTAAAGGGAGGAATCTTTGATAGGGAAATTGAGTCAGGAGGGATAAGCGAGCCCTTCAGGCAGAGGGCAGGCAAAGGACTTAAGGCAGGAAAGAGGCAAGCATGGACAGGGTCAGTTAGGAGACAGTTCTAACTTCCACCAGCCCAAAAGAGCCCATGTGAGTCTCCTGTAATTGCCATGGTCCCGCACTACAGTTTTCAGGAGGGAACAGAGATTATGTGATAAACAGTTGTAAGTGAGCCCTCCTGGGGGCTGTAAGCAGTAGACACTGTCAGAAGATAAGAATCACAGGACTGGCAACTTGGAATTGAGCGCAGTGATCACCCTGGAAAATGAGGGAAGGGCAGCTCAGGGTCAAGATCGCATGCTTGTCAGTGATGGGTGGAGTTCACCACAAAGCTGGTCATCTTTCTGGGTACATATTTTGCCCATGTGGTAAAAGTGTGCCAATTGAGGCTCGCATTTTTAGTAAAGACTGAGATAAATTTCCCTCAAAGGAGAAACCTCTCAATGGAGAAATCCATTTAGTCCTATTTTCTGATTCCAGTTTCCAGCTGAGAAAGAATTTGAAGTACCCTAACTTTCAGAGCCAACGATCTAATTTTGGTTAGAAGCACCCACAGGAGCTGAGAATTGAGTGGCTGCATGAACATCTGTTCCCCAAACTGACTAAAAGGCAGTGGCTGCATTTTCCCTCAGCCCTGTCTTTTTCCTTATAGAGGAGTTGGTAATTTGAATAAGTGTCAGATCATAGCCTGCGCACATTACGCTAGAGTCAATATTTTTGCTACCTAATAGTACACAGCATTATACCTGAAATCTTCCAGGCTGGCAGGGTGTTATTACAAAAGATTGCTTAATTGTAGATTACTACTGTACATTTAAATTTCAGTAGCACATTAAGTTGTCAGACTTAATTACTGTTATATGTTTAGATTATGCCGCAGATTATTTAGTTCAGTACCTAGGTTTGCCAACCTGTTCTCCTTGTGATGTGACAGGGCAGCAATTAGAACATTACCGAGAAACCTTCAGGTTTCCACAGAGATGTCCAGCAGAGGCCTGGTGTCCGTATATCTCCTGTGAAGTGGCCTCATTCTGTTGTCCCCCACCCAGATCTTCCTCGGTGAGCCTCTGTATGAACAGTCTTGGTCGTCCTAGCTTGGCTTTGTATGCACGTTCAGTATGAGATGAAGATGTAGAAAAGCCCATTGATGCCACAGAAAGCTCCCCAGGTACGTAGGCACCAGATTTCTCAATCTCAGTACTATTGGCCTTGCTTTATCTGTAGGGCTGTCTTGTGCAGGGAAGATGTTTAGCAGCCTTTCTGACTTTGTCCAGGCAGAAGCTCATAGCATTCCCCCCAGCTGGGAAAGTCCAAAGTGTATCTAGATGTCCTGACCTCAGAGCGCAAAACTACCTCATGCTGAAGACTACTGATCTAGCTGTCTCTTGGTGCTCAGGGTAGAAGGTGTTTGCTCTCTTTCCGGAGGAGAATTGTGCAATGCTTTATACTTTCAGTTTTCAGAGGTTAAGCTTTCTATCTCTTCAGAAATGGTGCAAGAAGCATATTAATGTGAAATACAAAGAATGACTAAGAGGGTCCAACAGGCTTATCCAAAGATTAGGATTTCTAAAAACAAAGTCTAGATTGACTCCTATGATGACGGAGTAATCGATGAAACTTCTGAGTGAATATTCGCAAGGTCCTTTAAGATCTCAAAATGCGACGTCACTGGTGGCTTAGTACCAGATGAGCAGGCTTGATGACCTCTGTGAGGTGTGTTCTTCGAGCCTGACTGGACCAGTGTTTCTCAAATGCACAGCTGAGTATGATCACATCCATACCAGGAAGGGTGCCAGGCCCATATGATATATTCTTCCCTATGCTTCTCTCTTTATGTTTGGGGAAAGCAACTACTCATCATGATGTATCGTGATGACTCGGCCACTGTGTTATCTCTTCCCGTGCTCTTTCTCCTTTCCAATCCCCCATCTCTTTCTACCATATCAGCCAGCTGCTGCCTTACACGCAGCCGTGGAGCCTGTCACCAAATGCCTGACACATCCTACCAAATAAACACATTTTTGTTGAATAAAAAAAAATCCTTAAATACAAGGGAACTAGACCTAGAATCATATTTGCACATTTCTACTTTATATGGAAGGAGAGAGGTTACAAAATAATAATCAGAAGGACTCTATTCTATATCATTAATTAGAAGGCTTGAGGTGTTTTCAGTTTCCCCAGGGCTACATTGTATGCACATATTTCTGCTTCTTCCCTATCCATTCAGTGTTGCAAGAATGTGTCTGCATGGCACGCACACACACACACACTCATTTGTGAATTGCAGTGACCTTAACTGCTCAGCTAGGAATTCAGGCAGCAGAACACACCAGCACTTCTACAGATGTTCAGCTTTGCTCAGTGGAGGTAGGGCTCCTACCTCCTTAGCTCAGCTTTTCATGGCACTTTGGTATTCCTGAGGTGTTCTGTTATTAGTTTCACTCTTCAAAATTGCTGAAGTCCTGGATGCTGTTTGGGATTTGGTTGTATAGTGAGGGTGTGCTGAGGAGTTGGTTTAGTTCACCTACCAAAGATTAGATGACTCTCTTCTTCCTAAGAACCTTGCGTTTATCTGCCTAGGAACAGTGCCTCGGAGCCAGAGAGAGAGTTCTTTGGGCTTCACAAATCAACTTGTGATCATTTTTGCCTACAGCCATAGAGCCTCTCAATGCCTTTAACGTCCGACCTCTCTGAGTGCTTTGCAAGGTGGGCCACCTCTGGCCACCAGCTCCGTGGCTCGAGGACCCAGTCCCTTGACCTAGATTCAGTGGGTCAGTCATTACCACTGGGAATGGCTGGACCAGCTGGGTTCCAATCATGACTTACTTCTGTCTTGAATTGAAAAATCTGTTTTAGACACAAAATATGACTTTCCTATTCACTTGAGAGGCTGGTAGTTTTACAGACCTTTGCCCATTTGAAGAAGAGAAAGATAAGCACTTGCGCCACGGGGATCAGCCACTTCTGTCAGGCACTTCTTGGGTACAGAGAAATAGTAGCTCCTCTGGAGTCCAGTTCACTGGCTCATGTGCTTCTACAGGTGCTTGTTAAGCATCTATTAAGTGACCATAATTCCACCAGGTATTGAGAGGAATCCAAAGGAGAAAAGAGACAGGATCTTCATCTAAAGAGATCCCCCCAGCTTGTTTCTCACTTTCTCTTTGTAATTTGTAGCTAAAACACACCATTTTCATCTACAGAAGTTTGAAAGAGTCTTTGTGACAAGTCCCTAAAATTTGTATACTGTAAACATGCCAAAGAGTCAAAAAATTAGTTTATCCTTTCAACCATGAAAGTAGAACCTATAATTTGAATATCTTTAAAAACCAGCTAAAACTGATTCACGATAACTTATTAACTACAGCAACATACCAACTGCTATGTTCTTTGATATTAAATTAATAACTAAAAATAATATCGTTTACAATTTTGTGATTTTTCCCCTTAAAATAGGAGAACAGTATTATGTATATATATTTCATTTAGAAGATGGATATCAGTTTTCATTTAGGGTTAGAATATCAGAGAATATTAGGCTGTTCCTACCACAGCATAGCCAGAGCTAGAGGGCGCTGCAGGGAAGTCTGGCCAACCTCGCTTCCTCCTCATGGTGGAAGCATCTCAGAGAGGAGGCCTCTGTCCTCATCCTATGGACCCCAGCCAGCCTCTTCCCAAGAGGGGTGCTGTTCGTACCTGGCATTGAAGGCCTGTAGCGGGTGGAGCCGATCCTCAGGGACCCGATGTTAAGTGTGGCCATGATGGCCTCCGTGTCGACCAGGATCTGGCTGTTTACTGCCTTGGGTGACGGAGCTAGGATAGCACACATGGAGCAGTCCTCTATGTTGACTGCGTGCAGATCCCCAGAATAGAGCGCTGATCCCTAATGAGACAAAACGGGGTAGAGAAAGGCCTGGTCAGATGGTGGGATGGGAGGTTAGGGCTCATGGTGAAGGATGTGATTTTCCAGCTAAGGTCTCTCCATGTTCCAGCTTGATTTTAAAACTTAGTTGCCAGAAACGCGTGTCTTTTCATTTATTAGTGTCTTTTTGTGAATACAAAGAGTGATCAAGATACATGGTGAATGTTTACAATTTAAAAATTTATTACAGGAAAACACACATTGCCAGAATCCCCCTCAAGATACCCCCCACCCCCCACACACCTTGGGAACACTTATCCTAGGTCCTTGCCACTTTCTGAAGAGTTCGGGAAGTCTTTTTTTGTGTGTGGCATCCTTAGTTGTGCTGTCCTGGCTGCCTCACTGTCTTGAAAGGATTCAAATCATTTGCCTTTCTTACTCATTTTGATCTTGTGTAAGAGCCAGACCTGGTGAGTAAGGTGGGTGAGGCCACAGGGTAAAGTTTTCACGAGACTGCCTCTCTGTTAGATCGCACTAAGCAGCCACGTTTACTGTATCTTTTATCATATCTTGGAAGACAGTCACAAAGGAGGGCTTGCGGAGCGGCGTCAGAGTGGCCGGAACAATGGGATAAGTGTGTTCAAAGCAAGGAGGTGTATTACAGAGGGGATTAATGGCAATGTGTCCTTTATTTAAGAAACTTAAAGAATTTTAAAATTCACTTTTTAACTATATATTATACATTTCACAGACTCTTCCCAGAGAGTGTGTTTAAATGAAACGAAGGAGAGTGGAGTGGTGTATGAAAATAGAAATCTATTTCATTGACTCCTTTGGAGAAGATAAATGGAGTAAGAGGGACAGTGACACGGTAAAAATCAGAGAAAGCAGCAGTAATGGGTGTAAAGGTGAATTTCTTTACCCTGCCATTTTGCTGGTAGAACAACCTGTTTGAACTCTCCAGATTAACTTGAAATGTGTGTAAGTTGCTTTTCTTTTGGTGGAGAAAGAGGGGTGAAACGGTCCCCACCGTCTGGATCTTTGGATCTAATATTGGTAATTCTTAATGTTAGCTGGCTCTGGAGACTTCGGGTGATTTTCTCTCTTTCCCTGTATGGACTGAAGCAAGGAAGATGGGAGTTGGAGCTTCACGGTGGCTGTATTTTTTTTAAAAGTAAATGCAATTTGCTTCTTGAGAATCATTTTTGAAGTTGGAAAAAATATTCCTTCCATGTTGCCAGCATTATTTCATAAAAATTCAAATGCTCTGGTGCATTTCACAGTGCACATAATGGGCTTTTCATCCCGGGAAATGGAGGCATACATTGAGATAAAAACTTATAAACATTAGATGCAAATATAATCGTAACTACAATACCACATATATATAATGGGTCCTGTCTTTGTCCATTTTTTTGCAGCCATAACAAGATACCATGGACTGGCTAAGTTATAAAGAAAAATTTACTTCTCATAGTGCTGGAGGCTGGGAATGACTGCAGCTGAGGGCCTTCTGGCTGCCTCACAACACAGCAGAGGGAATCTCACGGCAAGAGGGTGCACACGCGTGAGAGGATGGGGTGAGACTTCATCTCTTATCAGGAACACACTCCTCCTGTAACTCACTCAACTTCATGATAATGGCATAGATCCCAAGGGGGCGGGACCCTCGTGACCAAATGACCGTGTCACTAACTCTGTTACGATGGCAGTCAGGCTCCAGCATGACTTTCGGAAGACCCATGTGGTTTGAAAACCACAGAAGACACTTTTCTCAAAAGTGTAAACCCAATGCCCTCTCTCTGTTCGAACACTTAAAAGGGACCATGCAGCACTGTGCATTCTATACAAGGGTCTCTAGAAAAGAGGGGCAAGACCACTAAGGCTAGTTGGCATTACCTTACGGTGAGCCATTAAGTCAGAATCAGTCTCAGAAAAAGAGAAACTAAAAAGCAATTTGCATAGAGATAGTAAAATAGAGCAGTTTGAGCATAAACTCAGGAACCACAGTATTTAGGCTTAACCCTTACTTGCACCCCTTACTTGCTGTGCAATCTTGGGCAACATTTTAGTCTTTCTTTACTTAAAAGTCCTTAACCTTCAATATCTATCTTCTAGCATTATTTTTCAGGAAGAAATGCACTGATATGGACAAAATATTTAGGACAGCTTCTAACACCTAGTATGCACTGTACAAATGCAAGTTATTACCATGATTAACAACGCTAGTTGTACTCATAGTATTAGTATTATAAATATTCACTATTCCTTATGCGGTACTTACAGGCATTATATATATGCGGGGAAAATTCCTCAGAAATCGCCACTCTCTCTGCAGGTAATCCAGAGACCCGATGAATACGATGTCCTTCAGCTCCTTCTGAGTATAGTTGCTGGCTCTCAGGGGCATGACAAAATTTCGAAGCCCTATCAGGGCTGAGTGGGCATCTCCAAACACGCAGGCTACAACGTGGTTTTGAAACTCATGCTTTGGCTTGTCAATTCGTTTCTGAGAATAAGCAAGGGGCAGAGTGCAGTGACATTTATAAAGCAGATGAAAGAGAGCCCCTCAAGAGGACTCCTTCCTCTCACCCACATATTTCCAGTAGTAGTACTTTCATGAGGTTAACAATAAATGTAACTGAAAAACTGGTATTTCTGGCTTCTTGCAGGGCCTGGAAAAAACATCTCCTCTTAGGGAGCCTGGATGTAACAGAGTGGTGAACATGGGGCCAAAGGACTGGACTTTGTATTCTAGCTCTGTTTTTAGCCATGAGAATGAACGAATCATTTTAACCCCTCTGATCCTCAATTTCTTTATGTTTAAAATGGTTAACAAGTAAAGTACGTGTTAATTTTGTTGTGGGAATTAAGTAATGTATCGAAAGCATAGTGCTTCAGCGTTAATATTTGTTCAGTAACTGAACAAATTCGAATCTTATAAGGACGCTTGGAAGCCGGTAGAAAATAAGTTAAATATATTTAAATTTCACTGTGCATGTTCTATATTCTCAGGCATGTAAAGACTCACAATCTTTCAAATGGATATATCATTTTTCTTCATGCCAATCCTCGCTGAGTTAAATGGCAAGCTCTATAAAGCAGGTGTTGACAAAATCTAACAGGATAAATGAGTAAAATACCATACATCAGCAATTAGAGTTGATCACCTTAGAAGATACGGGGAAGTGCTGTGTCTCCAAGGGATCTCCTTGGGAGGGAAAATAAAGCTCTCTACTTGTCTGGAGAGCTTTCTAGGAGAGTGATATGAATCTTAACCAAATCTATTAAATAATTGTCTCTAGTTAACCCTATTAGATTTAAGTTGAATAATGAACCCTCCGATGGTATTTAATGTAACATGCCTGAAGTCCACCAATCGCTCTTCTGAGCAGAACTAAATGATTAGAAGAAAGATCCATGGCAGAGTTCTTTTATAGGCAAGTTAGAGAGGCAATTTCTCCAGCAAACCGTGGCCCAAAACTCCCCCGATTAAGAACGATGGTGGTGTTGGGGAGATGGGGGCTGGGCCACTTGTCCCCAGGAGCCTCCGTGGGACACTTCCCTGGGACCCTTCTGTAAGTGGAACCAGGTTCAAAGCCTCTTGGATTTTGCAATCTGGATATTTAATCTCTGAGAGACACCGATTCCAAAACCCTTAGCACTTCTAAAGTAGGCCTTGGAAGTGGAACAAAAGATTCAGATGTTGTTTTGAGCTACGTTCCACATTGAGTACGATAAGGGAAGGAGCTATCGTGGCAATCTGTCTGTGTGCTTTAATAAGTGCGGTCTAATAAGATGTCTCATTTATTTATTATTGTCTCTCAGATGCCTCAATCTGCACCCAACTTCTCAACCTTTCTCAAGATCTTCCTCCCACTGAAAACATTTCTGGCTTCCTGTTCAACGGATGTTAATTTTGTGTAGTTTAGAATAAGACATAATTGCTAAAATGGCAAGTTTCAGCAACCCTAATAGTCTTCCAGTGGGTATGACAGCTCTGACAATTTTGTGCTTCTGATCAAATGATTGATAATACTTTTGCAAAAATTGGAACATATTCTGTCAGGACACTGGCACTGTGCCATGAGGATTGTGCATGCACATGTGGTATGTGTGTGTGTGTGTGCGTGCGCGTGTGTGTGCGCAAGAACCAAGTAGAAGAAATGAACTGAACTACTTTTGAAAAGCAAGAAAATATTAATAAGTATCAATGAGCCATAGCTGAGAAAATTCTATAGGGTCATGCAGCATGCAAGCAATCATCCCTATTAGCTAATTTTGCCAGCTACGCCTTATAAGGAAAACCACTGAAATTTATATTTGAGTTTTACTGCTGCAGAATGACAATAGATAGGGGTTCAGAAAGCATATGTTAGAGCAAGAATTAGGATACAAGGCTTTCTTATATCCTGACTGCTCACAATTCCTGGAGCTGAGTCAGTTTGATTCCTAGAGAGGAGGGGTAGGGTTAGAACCTATGATATCTACAAGGCTTCACCCAAGTTGTTTGGGGTTAAGGTGGGAGATGTTTGGGGCTCATGTATTAAATGTAAACATAGCCAGGTTTAAAAATATTATATCAAAGAAATGTCTGTGTGCTTGTTTGTTGTGGAACTGGGATTGAACCCAGGGCTTTCACACGGGGCCACATTCCAAGTCCCTTTAAACTTTTATTATTATTATTATTATTCTTGAAAAGTTTCTTGTGAAGTTGCTAAAATATCCAGGCAGGGCTCTGGGATTGAGATAGCCTCTAAGAGTGTTCAAGTTACAAACAAATACCACCCCACCCAGTTGAGATGCTTTTTTATTTTAAAATAAAGGAACAACTGGGCTGGGTATTTAGCTCAGCGGTTCGGTGGCCTGCCTTGCAAGCGCAAGGACCCAAGTTCAATCCCCAGTACCAAAAAAACAATAAAGGAACAACTGCAGAGGCTTAGAAATACTAACTTTCCCTGATGAGTTTACATTATTTAGGTTTAGTAGCAAAACTCATTTTATGAGAACATTATTATAAGTAAACAAAACTGTTGAGGGGGGAGTGCTGAAGACATCTAAGTATTTTAAATCTCAGCATTTCACCCACAAGGTCTTTGTCGAAAGTCACGTGGATTCCACTGCTTGTCATTTATGTGGCAGGTAAGGTATATGTTTTTCCTTCCAAATTCAGTTTACAGAGAGAAATCACAGGTGCTCATGATTATCAGGACATCCTGTACCCCAAGAGATACTTTAATTTATTTAAATATGATACAAGGCAACCTACCAAAATCACCTTGTCCAAAGGAGTTGTTTTGCACCAGTGAAACATGCCACTGCTGTCAAGCTGGTCAGGGTCTTGCTCCGTGTCATCTAGGAAAGTCCTAAATAGGGAGAATGGAGTCAGTGTGATTGGGGGCTCCTGTGTAACAAAGCCGAGACGTAAAATGTGACAGAACCTTGAGCCCAAAGCAGAGAACAATCAATGTAAGGAGAGTGACGGCAAGCCTGAGCCTCCAGAATAAGGGCTCGCGTCTGACGGTGCCAAGGGGCTGGAACCCCAGACTGCACCACAGCTGAAGACATACTGAGTGCTTGGGGCAGATTCTCTTTTTATCTTAGATTTATATGCTTCAAAAGTTCTTATTTTTGCTCTTCATTTCACTACTATCACAGTGTTACCTTTGCTTGGCAGAAACACGAGTAGTATTTTGGGCACCTCAATCTAGAATGTAAAAGACAGAAGCCAGATCTGTCATGTAAAGGTACAAGATCCCAATGATGAATGTAACTGTACTGTTTGCTTGAAATGTACCGATAAACTTAATGGAAAAAAATAAAAATAAAAGGCACTGAGAGGTCAAATCATGGGTCACAACTTCTTCCTTAACCTGGTTTTCTCCTCTCTTTTGTCCATGTTTGCTTTCTTATGGGTCCCCACTGGAACCTCCTGGTTTATAAAATGTACTTTTTGGTCTTTGCAACTTTCAACAAGGGCTTGCATTTTCCTAGTCTTTCCCTTGATCCTCACCCAATCTTGGCCAAGGCTCCATGCCCCCATACATTGTAACTCTACTCAAATCCAAAGGGAAGCTTGTTGGAGAACAGAAAAAAAAAATGTTTCCAAAATCACAGAAAGTTCAGGATTAGAAAGGATCTGGCAAGTCTGGAGAATCTAGGCAATGGCTGCAAAAACAACCTCTAAACACAGCACAGGTTGTTGCTCACTGCATGTGCTTTTCACTCAGGTGAACAGTTCCTTACTCCTCAGAGCCACTCAGAGCCTTGGGCAAAAGAAGCTCTACCACCTGCACCTGCTTGGTCACCAGGCAAGGGAAGAAGAAGGAACCAGGCAATCAAGGCAAGGTTCTGAATTGGCCTGGTCCAAAGTGACACCGTAATTTCCTGTGAAAGTCAGCTCCTGCTGACGGGGAAGCAGTTGGGATATCTGGTGAGCATGTCCATCTTTGCCAGAGTCTACAGACTTCCTCCCTCATTTGATAGATACAAGAAAAGGACTAACAAATTGTAGAGACAGAGCTTCTTAACTGTAAAGCCGAGGCTGAAGTTACTAGTGTTCACAATATCTAGTTCTCCTTTCCTTCCTAAGGACCTGGACTGTTAGGTGGGGCCGCAGGATTAGTCCTGTCCACTGAGATGTGAGCCATGATGACTGAGACAGTAAAAAGCACCCATGGAGCTTTGTTGACTCTCTCCTAACCTGCTCTTGATGATCAGCCTAGGTATGTGGTGCTTATGCGGAGCAGTGCACCCTTGCTTCTTGGACCTGTGTTGGATATGCACAGGAAGAAGTCTTAGTCATGCTAAGGCGTAGAGCCTTCATGCTTGTAACACCTTATATGTCCATCCTATTCTACACACACACTTGCCCCCTCTACCCGACTCCTCCATTACCAGGCCATACTTATTTAATTGATTACTTTAAAACTATTTGTTACTGTCCCCTGAAGCAACTTTGGGGACATACCATGCTGTGTCACAGTACAGATTTAGCCCTGGAAATCAGTAGCTTGTGACAGCACTCTTCTGTGAGGTTGTGGTATCCCTCCTAGGAGATATGCAATCTATTGCTGTCTGTTCTGGAGGAGGAGAAATTTTCCCTGTGAGTTAAAATAGCTAGTTATTCAACATGTGGCTCAGTGACCCAGTCTCCAACCTAAAGACAAGTAATTTTTCCTCTTCTCAACTAGGTTAGTTTCCATCCTAAGTCTTAAATTTTGGGTAAAAGAACTTACTCAAATTTGAAGCATCAGACCTAAAGTACAGGGAAAGGGAGATAACAGGAGCAGAGAAACCTGAGTAGGGAGGGTGGGGTGGTGGAGAAAGGTTTGGAAAAGCAGAGGATAATTACTAAGGAGATTGGCCAGGATCTTAGGCAAAATCCTTTATCTCCACCTGCACTAAGACCTAGCTATAAATTTAGTGGATTTCCTGAGTCTTAGGCATTTAACTAGTCAGAATATGTTGTACCGTAAGCCTCCAGGTTCAGCGTGAACGAAATGGATACCTTGTTCATTCCTATTAATGTACATTTGGTGGTTTCCATGTCCAAAATTCATGAGCCCCAAACCCAAATTCTCCACAGAGGCTCCCTCAGCTAAACTACACAAGACCATGGTGATGGCTTTATGACAAGCTTGTTAAAAGTTCTCACCAGGAAACATACCTAAGTTCTGAATCTAGCTTTGACTTTTATCAGAAATTGAAGAACTAGCTGTGTTATTCATTCACAGAGCCTCCTATCTCTCTGTGAGTTGTTTTTGGACATTCCTTCAGATTTCTTAAAACATATATCTATGCAATGTATCCAAGTTGATAGAGACTGTGTTTCTTAGACCCTTCAAGGACAATTTGGAAATTGGTGTCTTACCTTCAGGGAGGGGGCTTTCTGATTTCTTCCCTTAGCACTCAGGTGTACAATGATGGCTACTACTTCCTTCTGGTGGCTTTTTCTGTTTTTTTTCCCCCACTTTCTTTCTTTCTCTGCCCATCTCATTCTCATGATGAATGAAGAGCTCTTGGTTCAGTAAGTAAGTATAAATGGAAGATGATCTCCCAAACACACTTTAACTTGACTCAGAACAACAAATCAATCACTGTGCATTTTTTATCATAATAAAAGCATGATCTATGTATACAAGCCATCACAGACAACATCTTTCTTCATGCTGATGTTACAGAAAACAGACACGCCTTAGAAGAAACACCTGTCAGGGACTTGTACAGAAGAAAAGGTTAGAAGAGACCCACTTCATCCTAATGACATCCATCTGGTGTCTTTACCAAAGCACACCTCGTGCAATTTAGATCACCATCTTCAAAATACTCTCCTCTTTCACACGCTTTGAAAATGATATAATCCTTGCAGAAACCACAGAGACCAGTAAATACCCTCAGAACACTTAGTTCTAAGTGGTCCTGAAACACGGAACTAGGAATAGAATACAAAGGCTGATGCAACTGCAGGGAAAGGTGGTCACGGGGCACCATCCAAATGGCTGAAGGAAAAGGCAGATTCTGATCACAGATGAAAGTCTCTCAGGGAATGGGGTCTTTGTATGTGGGAGAGGCTGGCAAGTAAATGCAGCAGGATTGTTTGGAATGTTCCTCTCCAGAACAAGCTGGGTAAGGATGGGGTTGGTTCCCTGGTTACTCAACATGCTTCGTGCTATTCAAACACAGCCCGGGGCCAGGCGTGGTGGCGCACGCCTGTAATCCCAGCACTTGGGAGGCTGAGGCAGGAGGATCACTTTGAGTTGAAGACCAGCCTGGGCTACAAAGTGAGTTCCAGGTCAGTCTCAACTACATAGTGAGACCCTGTCTCAACAAACAAACAAACAAACAAAAGACAAAAAAACCCAAACCAAACAAACACACACAGCACAGATCTTTTGTCTGGCAACACTCAGGAGGCCCTGGATCTTGAAATATTCCCAGAGTCAGGGCTCTAGCTTCCACCGCTGGTAGATGAAACTTACCAGGTGAGAACAGCTTTGCAGCCAGTGTGCTAGTGGATGTGTGGTGCGGGACAGGAGTGATGCTTTCAGCTTTCTGCTGATGCCTGCCTTTGGCTGCGGGGCTGTGCATGGAGCCAGCGCCTTGAGGATAAGCGCCCGAACAGGTCCTGAGTAAGGAAGGCAGCTCTTCCCTCTCTGCTTTCTGGAGCCATTCTGAGTAGAATTATTCTCACATAGTCATCACAACTAATCCTGTGTGAATCCTATTACATAAAGGAAAATACAAAGACCACATGCTTTTGTTTTTGATGGTAATATCTGATAAGAGAGATTCCGTTTGTGAGGTGAACCTCTATTAAGGAGCTACATTCAGTTTTATGGAGCCAGATCAGGTGGCACATTTCCAAGGGTATCAACCTGCTGTTGTTATTTCCTCCAATTACAGACCTGACTCAGATTAACTGAAAATGATCTGATGATGAATGGAAATCCTCTCACAAGGCCTTTCAGAAAGTTTAAGAAGCATCTCTTTGGAGTCCTCTTTTGTAAAATGTGTAAAGAAAGCCTGGTTTATATCCAACTGTTTCACTTGAAATCTCCATAAAACTCCATAGGCAGCTTGTAAATAATTAAGAGAAGGATTTCTCTGCTGAATGCTGAGCAGTACTTTGTTGTGTTGCTGTTCAGGACTTGAACTATACAAAAATAGAAAGTTTCATAAAGTCTTAGAATTGGAAAGACAAGTCCCCGGGCTGTGTTGGGAAGGAGGGGCACAAGTGTATACTGACATTCTTGGTTTTATCTTTGGAAAATCCGTTGAATCTGTCTCTTGAAAGTACTGGTCAGGTCCCTACCACAAGAAGAGGGAAAATCTTCAGTCCCAGGATGCCTTTAATGGTACTGAGAATTTGTATCTTGAATGCTACAGTTGCCTTCTCTTCAATGACTTAGTCTGTAACAACAAGGCTATTTTTGACTTGGGAATACTTATTATTACCAATTAGAGCTGTCACTTTTTGTGTTATGGAGAAAATCATGTCCTGCTCCCAGCCCCCCCCCCATATATACCTATACATACTATGGTCAATTATCAGAACATGAACCTAATATTTATATTTATGATCATATTATGATTTGAGTTTCTTCTGGTGGTCATTTATTCATTATAAGATAAAGAAACTTGGGATTTAAAAGAGTGGATACTTGCCAAAGTTCCCCCAAGAAGTATGAGAAAGCTGAAAAGGACCCTGAGCTCTGAGCATCTTTGGGACTCAGCAGCCACGGAACAACCTCAGGAAGGACAGTACACAACCTGCCCTCCTTGCTGAAGCTCTGGGCACTCGCTTCCTTTTCCAGGAGTGGAGAGAAGCTCGGGCTCTGTGTCTGCATCCAGCTTGAGTGGTGAT